TGAACCTGTATTTTGAAACAGTAACATAATATTACGCTTTAGCTAAGGGTCCAACATGTTAAGGTAACGGTCTGAGTTCTGGCTCTGAATTGTTTCTCTTATCACTTGTGGCTGATCCACCTGACCGTGTCCATGTTTAGAGACACAATAATCTGACAGACTTTTACCGTTTCAGGTATGAGGCGCCAGTCGCCCCAAACCCGCAGATCTTCCAAGAAACAGCAGTGGAAGCGTTTCCTATAGCCATCGTGGGTTTTGCTGTGGCCTTCTCTGTGGCCAAAGTTTATTCTATAAAACATGATTACACCATAGATGGAAACCAGGTGGGTAACAACTCAGCCACATGTAGGTTAAAGTTGTGTCAGGACGTCAGTGTGACTTTTTATCTCTGTGACCCGGCTACAGGAGCTGATAGCCTTTGGAGTCAGCAACATCTTTGGAGCTTCCTTCAGGTCTTTTGCAGCGAGTACAGCTCTTTCTAGGAGTGCAGTTCAGGAGAGCACAGGAGGGAAAACTCAGGTAAACTAACGTAGCTGATCCCGGATCTGTCCATGTCAGGCAGGGTTTTCTGTATTATTGTAGGGTCTCCCTTACAGTATAAAGCACCCTGAGGTTTGTTGTTGTGATCTGTATAAATAAAGCTGTATTGAATAATATTGAAACTGAAGTCGGATTTCGTAACACAAACGTTTGAAGTATCTTTACAATGAAAATCTTTATGATGAAATCTTTGCTTTTTCACTACAATTCATTTGTTGAATCCCTGGAAAACATTTAAATATGACTGCATGATATCAGTTTACAGAATCTGTCCATTCTCTTCTGTTTATACACGTTCATAGAGACTCTGTGATTAACTGCAAATGAATGGACAGCAGTTCCTGTGACACTCCTAGTTTCAGCTCGTCGCTCTGACATACAGTCACACAAATGCATTAAATTCAGTGAGTGACCAATAGAAAGGCCAGCCAACAGTGACCTCGAGTGTTTAGAGGAGAAAATGAAGTATCAATCAACTAATCTGATAAAGTCCTTTTTAAATCAGTACAAACTCACAGAATCTGATTTCCATCACGTTTGTTCTTCAATCCTCTTCTGTCGTTTTCAGGTAGCTGGTTTACTGTCAGCTGTCATAGTGATGATCGTCACATTGGCTATTGGATTCCTACTGGAGCTCCTACCAAAGGTACGTACACCTCCCTGTGCCTCTGACATGCTGTGTATACTCTGGGAAAGCTGATCTCTGGCCCTCTGCTTTAACAGTCCGTGCTGGGCGCCGTGATCATCGTCAACCTGAAGGGCAGTCTGATGCAGTTCAGAGAGATCCCATATCTGTGGAGGAGGGACAAAGCCGACTGTGTAAGACCTCACAAACTTTCAGTACTCTTAAAGACCATGTTTATATTTTGTAAGAAAGGACACATGGCCTCCTTGTTAGTAAACAACATGTTTCTTACCACAACAAGGTGGTGTGGCTGGCTAGCTGCATCGGTGCCCTCTTGCTGGGGCTGGATCTGGGACTGGCTGCCGGCCTCGGTGTGGAGCTGATCAGTGTCATCCTCAGGACTCAGTTGTGAGTATTTGGTGCACAATGTGATCATGTAACTGATTACTGTTGTTATTTCATCACGCTATTGTCACGAGGTTCAAAACGATGGCTTTTATTCTGTTAGCTGTTAGATAAATGACCACGACAGTGAGTACAAACACGTGACGCTGATTCTTGTAAATGATACAGTAGTTTACATTAAACCTTTCATCGTTGTTTTATCATCATCGTGAGCATGTTAGCATGTCATGTTTGCTTGTTTGCTTCAGTCCTCGCTGCAGTCTGCTGGCCAACATCAGGGGCACCGATATCTACAAAGACCGAAAGGACTACATCAGCGTAAGTTAGCGTGTGGCCCCTCAGGTGGCTTCAGTTTACCTTTCAAATATTTACACAGCTGTCGGGATATTAGCTTAGGCATTTGGATTAGAGTGTGAGGTCATTATTGTTATTATCATTATTTACATTGCAAAACTTTTTATGAAAACCTAGGATGGAAAGATAGTTTCAACTGAACTGAAAGAGATGTACTTTACCTTATGTGCACTGCATGTGGAAATAAGTGTTGCAGTTTGATAATAACATAAAGGACTTGTTACGATGGTACTAATTACAACTGAAAACCTACGAAATGTCAACAGGAAGTGTGAGTGTGGTTTATCACTGGCAGGCAGCCCACAGACAGACAATCACACTTTGTTTTACTTTTACTTTAGATCCTGAGGTGAAATCCTTTAACGATCAGCTAAATGTACCTGCCAACTTGAGCCACCAGTTAATTTTTAAAGATCGCAGATATTTTGTGCTAATTCATCATAATTAGACAAAAGATTACTGCATTACTAGGAATGATTGCCACTCTACTTGCTTCTTGGTGTTTGGGTTGGGATGATACTAAAGAATAGCAGGACTCACTGTCAGTAAAAGTCGTTTACTGACTGGTTTCTTCTTCACATCCACGCCAACAGTCCGACTCAACTAGACAGAAAGAGATGCAGGATGATTTTTTAAACTCTTTGCAGATATACGAGCCAGAAGGAGTGAAGATCTTCAGGATGCCATCTCCAATCTTCTTTGCTAACATTGAGTTCTTCAGGAACAAGCTGGTGGAAGCTGTAAGTCACATCTGGCTTTAGAGTGTAAAAGAATAAAAAGGTTAATGTACAATGTGGCTGATGTCGTTTTCAACAAAGCGTCTTTTTCTTTCCAACACAATAAAACACATCAGATAAACTTATCTCTGATCTGATCAGCAGATACGATAAATGACACACTTACTGTATGTCTTCCCAGGTCGGGTTTAACCCATTACGGGTGTTGAGAAAGAGAAATAAAGCAGTGAGGATGATACGGAAACTTCTGAAGAAGGGCAAGTTGCAGTGGACATCTGTGAGTATCTGAGCTTGGTTTGATAGTAACGGCACAAATGTTGCCTGTATCGACACATTAACAAGACGTTTCATTTTTACACAGTGAGTAAATTGACCAGAGTAAGAAGTTATTTTGGTCATTTGGTCATCATGGCAGATTTACATTTTCAGAAAACTCAAAAACCCAAACAGTGAAGTGAGAAAAGCAGCAGATGGTGCAGAGTCCAGCTTCACTTGTGGTGTGAGGCTGTAATGTGTGACTTTGTGT